TAGAGCTACGTGACCCCTAAGCTATTAAAGCAATCCAATAAAATAGATTGTATCTACAAATCGTATTTGTGTAACTTTTAGGTGGAGGAGCGAACCGCAATGTGTTAATCAATCCACATGCCTATAGAGCACACTCCAAGCCGGCTTAAATATCAATTACGTGTCCAGGAACTGATCAAAGCAATCGAAGGAGATGCAATAATTGTATCTTGCGAGCCAGGGCAAACACAGAATTGAGTTTTCTGCTCAAATTCATGTGTGAATCGCACCGCAACAACATGTCAACACTTCAGACTTCGGGCCATCTCCCTTCCGCTGCCCCGCCCCTCCAAAGAACGCCTTAGTTAAGCCTATTAAATGCCCCAAACGCTTTGTTGTACCGTCCTCGAATGTTTTGGGCCAGGTCTCTTCGCCTCGACCGTTTTTATTTGTTTGCCTTTTGTGTTTGTCTCTTTATTTGTAATAAATATGCTTGGCCAAAGAATGGGGGAGTCTCGGCCGGACGAAGGTGAGTTATTAATTTCACAAGTTCTGTCTGAGTTTTCCACATTGTCCGCCGCTTATCGGGTTACATAATTGTCGTTGCATTGTCTCCGTCTCCCCCGCTTTTATGGAGTGTAATTATCGCATATGTACATCGCATATCGCCGGCGATTTGTAGGGTTTCGCCCCCAAAAGGTTCTCTGACTGGGACTATCATCATCAGGATAACCGGAGTACCCTCGACTTGCAGTTGTAATTGAGTAATTTCCACTTGAATTTCCCCTTTCAATGTGTGCTTTCTTTGCGACTTTGTGTGGGATTTGAGCAGATTGGAAGACGAAGGACTTCTACGTATCTATTTCCGTTTGCCTGTGGTCTCCACCGGCTTTGTGGACTTTTGCGGTGGCATTACATTTAATATAAGAGGAATTCGGTTGGTGGGGGGGGAGGTGGTGGTTGTATTACCCAAGCTAACAAGTTGAAAGGCGGGCCAAAACAGCAAGTAGATCAAGCGTTTCTTGCACTTTTTCTGTCGGCAGCGTGACGCGTGTGAATTTCAATTTGAATTCGAAATTGGTAACAATGATGCGGCTGTTTTTTTTATTGTTTTCGGGAGGGCGCGGTAGCTGTAGCTGACAAATAACTGAACTGAAGCGTTGTGTCGAGGGTAATAATGATGCTGTGCAGAGACAATAACGAGTAGACGTGCCTCCAGCCTCAGCACCTTGATAGAATTTCAATTTCGCCGGGCCACACAATAAAAAATCTATTAAATTTCCATCTAATCACAAAAGCAATTAATCATTGACACTATTTATGCGCTTATTAAGCGAAACAGAACGAGAGAGTCAGATCCGGAGCTTACAGCAATGGATTGTGATGCTTTGTTATGCTGATGCCTTTGTTGGAGATACAGATACACGGGATGCAGATACAAATGAAGATACAAATGCCCGTTCAAGGCGACAGCCACGTAATTACAATTCCTTTGGCCTGCGCGGTCATCATGTGTATAAAAAGATATTGTATCTGCATCCGTGCGCTGGCCGAGCGACATTGAATTATCGCATTGCTCTCATCTCTCTTCACCCGTCTCGCAAACGCCTTTTTCGGGGTTGGGTTCGGTTCGGTTCGGTTTGGTTGACAAACTACAAAATAATAATGTGGCTTTCATTGTCCGCCAAAGAAGAATGGGAGGGGATGTCTGGTATTGTCATGCAGCGACAAGATATTTACACAATTACTCGAGACGTCTCTCGCATTCTGTGGATACGGGGATACGGATATTTTCACATACTGATTTTCCATTTTGAATTTACGTACAAAGCTAATTTATCATCGCGGCTCGAAACTGTAAAAACGCCGTGATGTTTTGTCCCGCCGAATGAATGCCAATATTTTTTCCGTCCAGCCCCAGTGCATAAGTATTATAACCGCAAAATAAATAACAAATATAACAAACGATGGGACCGGGGTCCAAAACACCCAGCCAGGCCAAAACCCCGTCGATTGAAGCTGTCAACGGGTACGCACAATAAAAACCTTTTGTCCCACTGCGTGAGATACTTTCAACTGCATGGGATTGGATGGGTTGGGATGGTATAAGATGTGTTTGGTAAATGCTATAGGTACCATAGTACAAGCCATGGACATGGGCAAGTGCCTAATTATGTGGCCGAGTCAATTTGTTCAGCGTTCGACCCATTCCGACTCGTCGCGCTTTTTGTTTGACTTTTCTCGCTGCGGGCAAACAATAAATGTTTTGTAGTGATTAAAAAGTAGTGTGAAATCGATTATACGTATACGTACTCACATTAACCAGTTCCAGGGCCCCCAGCACCCCTTACTTTAACCCTTCCCCTCCCCACCATCCTCGTGGACCGGATATATCCGATCTTCGTCACTCACTTCGGACGGGTGTCAATATTTGGCCGACTTTAGCGATACATGTTAATTCCTGTTAATCGCTGGGAGTCGGGTATTTTTGATCTCGCGACTACGTCAATTTAAAGTCCACACGGCGCTACAGGGAATTTATAGAAAAGGAGTGGGGATTACTTGATATTCTTCGTACCAATGCAGACATGTGTCGTTTTGAATTTTGCTTAAAGAAAAGAAATAGTAACATTGTTAAAAGTATCTTTCACTTATGGTTATCTCATTTTTAAAGAAATGTAGGTACATAGCTAAACAATGTTGTGATTTGAAAACTTTTACTTAAATTAAAAATGATTAATTAATTAAAGAGACTTTTTAATTTGATTTGTGGCTGAAAAAAGGCGATTTAAAAAAAAAAAAATTCAACGGTCCGCCATTTTCTTAATTTTTGTGCGAAATTAATAATCCTAGATCCTAGATGTTTCATGGAGCGGAAATCACATGCGCCGCCGAAAGAAGGGCTTTTGTTTAATGACAAAAAAAAAATATCTAAAATTTGTTTCTTCTTCTTTAAGACTTCAAATAAATGAATGCAAAGTTACAAGCCTAAAAAATAATATATGCACATTTACCAGGCCATTGAAAATCGTCAAAATTTGAAATCGAGAATGAAGGGGTCCCTTAAATATTACATTTACGAAATACGATTAGATTACACCATTAATAAAAAGAATTAGTCGGTTAGCCTAGTTGAAAGCTAATGGATTCAATCGACTATATCTAGAATCATAAAAAATTATCCTTAAAACAAAATATATATATTTGACCGCATCTTTCTTATTATAGATGTACAAAATAGTCGTCCGGTTTTGATAAAAATAAAAACCTTTTGCAGAACTCATATAAATAAACTGAACATATGCAGTAATATAATAAACTACACTAATTATACTAGACAATCTTGTTTATTGCTTTATCGACTCACAAGGTATTGCCTATCAAAAATATATATTTTTCATCATAAAGTAATAAATTTCTCCAACACAGAGTACCTAACTTATGTCCAAAATGTCTATACTCTGTGTTCTACAAGGGTATAAAAGCTTCAAAAGCTTTTGGTGGCGACATAAATACACATTGTTAAGCTGCGTTGAATTTTGGTACTTTTGTCAAAAAAAATCCAAGGCGTTAAAATAAAAACTAAACAAATTTAAAAACTATAATCCATAAATAAATAAAATATTTCCGAATCCAAATGCAAAAAGAATCCTAAAAGTATAAACTTTAGAGAGAACATAGCCCAAAAGTATGCAATGTCTACAAGATATATTTTGTATGCAAAAAACCCCCTTTTTGTAACGGAAACAGAAGCCCAATTTCAGTTCTCCCATAAAGTAAGTTTATTAATTCATAAATTCAGTAAGCTTATTTCTATAGTCTGCTGGTCTATTCAGAATACATTTTTTTATCAATTGCTTTTATTAGCCTAGCAATACTCCCCCAATAAATTGCTTTCCGATAAGTGATATCAAAACGGGCCTCCAATATTCTGGATAAAAAAAGAACCCCCACTGCAGAGCCCTAAAACAACCACGACATATCGCACGCGAATAAAACTAATCAAATGGAAAAGCGATCTTTGCGTCAATGCGGAATTGATATTGGCTATAGATACAGGGTTTCCTATAAGTCCTTATAGATAAAATCCAAACTAACATGCACTGTGCGAAACAATGGGACGTAATTACTTTAGGTTGCCAACTCAATTACGTGACCAATTAGATGAGCTACCAAAAAACCATAAAGAGATCATATCAATCTATCATTCGGAGAGTGACCCTCTATCGCAATAGTTCACCGTAAACCTGTAGAATCAAAACAAAAGTCAAAAACACACAAAAACAAGCGGAAAATTTTAGTACTCGACTAACCGGATACCACGCAGACTTTTGTTTTCTGTGATAGATGGGTAAAGTAATATGACAAGGGTTTTGTATCACATGCTCCCTTGGCAACCTAAACCTTTAGCTTTTACAGTCAAACGTACACAACTTAAATAAATTTGTGTTACTAAGGAGAAGCCAATTTTCTTTTACTTGATAAGCCATTAGAAATCAAATTTGAGGTCAAAATATTTTTATTCGTTTTTAATACTTTTAAAATATAATTAAAGTCTGAACTAAAAGAGATATGTATATACATATCTTACTTTTACAACATTAAAAACAAACCTCTTTTTAAATGAGATCCTCAGATTTAAAGTCTTTTCCTAACTTAAAGAAAATATGAAATGGTAAGACTACACTAATATAGCAATTATAACACTTATCTTTCTTTTTCTATATTGACAGTAAGTTTACTTATTAAAGGTACTTAAGGTTTAATCACTCAGCGCTATTGTTTTATCAGCTTGGTTTGAGTTAGGGAAAATTCCACTTGGATAGTTCGGAAAAGAGAAGTTCGGCGGGTGGATTCATTGATCAGAACCAGGGCACTATCTAGATTGACGCGCATCGCATAGATATACCCAGCAGGTAATTGGGTATCGTGTCTAATGGCACTGGCACTTTTGGGTTTTGCTGCCTCGCTTTTATGGCATGCCTTTTTGCGATATTTGATTTTGATGGGCGCTTGGCGGTTTTTGTTAAACGGCGACAGCGTTTACTCTCAGTCAGTCAGTCGGTCGATCGGCGCTCGAAAGCGAAACTCACATGCGGCGCACCGCCTGCAGATACAGATACAAATACCCGTTCCGCAGATACAGATACAACGTCCGCGAGTCAAGAGTCCGAATTCGCGACACGCAGTGAAGTTGTGCACGGAATCCGATTCAGGAAAATTACCATTGCAAACGGGAAATTCAATTAGCTGCTCGCGCTCCGTCAAGTGCTTCACAGAAAATAAGAAAAAAGAAAAACATTAATAAAACGACACACACAATAGGAGTAAAAGTGCGAAGAAATGCCAGTGCAACAGCAACATCAGTCTGCGGCCATCGGTCAGCAAATAAAGATGGGCATCGAGGCGGTTGGAGGCGTGGCGGCGACTAGTGCCAAACAAAAGCCCAGAAGGTGCGAAATAATTTGCTATTCATTACAAACTCCTATTTCGTATATCAATATTTGACACACATTTCGGTGCCACGTTGCGTATACGTCACGTGAGCAAGTGTTTTTAGCCCAACGACGAAAAAGCGAGACAACAAAAAAAAACACAATTTATTTTTGGCCCCGGCACAAAGAGCGAGTGAATCAAGAACTGAATTGCAAATACAAGAAAAAACAAATGCCGCCGTTTTGTTTATTTGTTTTGCATATTTTTGCAGGCCGTCTAACCAGTTTTTTGGTAGACACTCGAGATCGGTTAACGAGTAACGCTAGACAGCAACGATGTGTCCATTAATCAAGGGAGTCTGGCTTCAACCAGAAATCCCCTATCCGTATATACCACAATATAATAAAATAATATAATATACCATAATATATAGTGTGTGGCGAAAAAGTGGATCGAAGACTGTGTCACAAGCGCGGGAGTTTTACGATGGCAGATCGATAAACATCTAGCCATCCATCGTTTCGCTTCTATTCACTTCTTTGATTCGTTGCGGTTTCATTGAATTTATTTATTAATCTAGCAAGTCAAATTGCTTCTACCTCGATCGCTGGCATCGCTGGCATCGCGTATAATTTATAATCGAACTTCAAATGTTCCGCCATGGAATGGTCTATGCAAATCATTGAGTGCACATCGCTTAAGGTGCGCGTCATATGTCTAAGCATTCGGTGTCGCGCGACATGAGTGTCAAGGCCACAAGGAAATCCGTCATGGAAGTCCGAATCGCGATAAAGCCTTCCAAAGTCGGGCTAAGTGACGTGCCAGCCGTGAGTGATAAGTGCTATCTCAAGTGGGTTCCATATAGTTCAATATAGTTCCTAAGATTCCGTTTGGGTAAGTTTTCCAATCACCACAACCTTGAAGGTAAGTGTAAATAGTATAAAATAATTATGATCAACCATAAATCTCTCTCTTTCTACCCCACGTGATTTTTCTTATCAAAAAGGGAGCGCCACTTCAAACCAATTTAAAAGATCTTATAGGTAATTCCATTTAATAATTTTTTATCACTAGCTAGACGCGCTTGTTGTTATCATTTGATTGAAAATTACATCACACTCTTAATTATGATCATTATTTTCTCTATCTACCTTTATTTGTCTTATTAAAAAGCGATCGCCACTTGAGATTTATTTTAGTGTTCTTAAAGACATAATTAAAGTGATTATCACCTAGACGGTGTGCATTTTGTCGTCTTGTTATTTAACATTCTTTAGTATTACGATAATTGCTCAAAATGTTTAGCAAATAAGTATGACTCTCATATTTATAGGTTTTTATACCCTTGCAGAGGGTATTATAATTTTGGTCAAAAGTGTGCAACGCAGTGAAGGAGACATCTCCGACCCTATAAAGTATATATATTCTTGATCAGGATCACCTCCTGAGTTGATATAGCCATGTCCGTCTGTCCGTCTGTCCGTCTGTCCGTCTGTCCGTCTGTCTGTCCGTCTGTCTGTTTCTACGCGAACTAGTCTCTCAGTTTTAAAGATATCGAATTGAAACTTTGCACACACCCTTCTTTCCTTTGCACGCAGTATATAAGTCGGAACGGCCGGGATCGGCCGACTATATCCTATAGCTGCCATATAACTGATTGATCGGAAATGCCATAACTCTGCTGTTTGTTAGGTTAGGAAGTTGGGACTTTCTATTGGTTTTATATTTGGCCAATCAATCCGACGTACCAAATTTCATAAGGATCGGCCGACTATATCTTATAGCTGCCATATAACTGATTGATCGGAAATGCCATAACTTTGGTGTTTGTAAAGTTAGGAAGTTGGGATTTTCTATGGGTTTTATATTTGGCCAATCAATCCGACGTACCAAATTTCATAAGGATCGGCCGACTATATCTTATAGCTGCCATATAACTGATTGATCGGAAATGCCATAACTTTGGTGTTTGTAAAGTTAGGAAGTTGGGATTTTCTATGGGTTTTATATTTGGCCAATCAATCAGACGTACCAAATTTCATAAGGATCGGCCGACTATATCTTATAGCTGCCATATAACTGATTGATCGGAAATGCCATAACTTTGGTGTTTGTTAAGTTAGGAAGTTGGGATTTTCTATGGGTTTTATTTTTGCCTAATCAATCCGACATATCAAATTTCATAAGGATCGGCCGACTATATTCTATAACTGCCATATAACTGAACGATTGGAAATGCCATAACTTTGGTGTTTTTAAAGTTAGGAAGTTGGGATTTTTTATGAGTATTAAGAATGCATTATGAATGATTTTGGAGAATATAATTTGCAGAATATTCTGCAAGGGTATTTCAACTTCGGCTCCGCCCGAAGTTAGCTTTCCTTTCTTGTTTAATAGTTTGTTTGTTTTAGATGCTTTTCATGTGTTCAAATATGGGAATAATGGGGTTTGCAATTGTTTACTCGATTCTGCGTGACTATTTAACTCGTAAGCATACTTATACACTTATTTGTATTTGGTTAACCCACACAAATGGGGAAGTCCAAAAATAGTGCCAGAATAAATACACTTAGGGTTTTGAAAAATATTGATTACAGTGATATATTCTTTCTTAATATTATTTCATTTAACAATTTATTACATATTAATACGTTAAAATTATACATTAGGGCAACAGAACCAAAATGTATCTTTTATGAATTATTAAAGTATTTATTATTAAATAAAGGTTTTGCGAATACGGACATTAAGCTCAAAACTATATACTTTGTTGAATGTTTCTGGTTATCCTTTTAAGGTTTATGTCCTCATGCTTATACACAATAAATTCATGAATTATAAATTTTGAATACTATGTACGACAGTACTGTTGACTCGATTTTGTTTTTCGCTTAGCAATACTTGTTGTTTTAAGGGTACAGTGATTAAACACCCAAAAAGTTGAAAATAACTTAACTTAAATTCCTTTTGATAATAAATTTAAAAAATGTTTCATCTTTAATTCTCTGAGTTTTCACTTAAAAAGTCATATATATTATTGTAAGTCATGAAAAAAACATGTATGAATAATCGAAAATCGCGTTAATGGACTTTGCTTTCATAAATTCAGAAATTCCTTGCATTAAATAAACAAACAAGAAAACCAGTCCCTGAACTGCTTAAGCCACTATCTGAACTGCAGTGTTTACACTGCTTGCCGAAAGTTTATCTCATCTGCTTGTCAAGCGAAAGGTAATATTTACGTTAGTCAAGTTGCTTGATACCACTATCAAAAGCTCACATCACTGACTAAACAACAAAGCGTTGACTGCGCAGCTGACGTTTTTTAACTGAAGTGATAAGAGCTGAACTTCGGAAGCCGACTGCGCTGCTGCTGCCTTCCACTGCTTGCTTTGGCTACTTGTCGGCAGCGACTGCGCTGCTTGATAGCAACAATAATAATACGCCATGGTGTCCAACTGCGACGCCGACTGCGCAGCTGCCGCGCAGTCGATGGCGCGTATTTAGCTCCAGGCATTTCCTACACTCAATAGCAAACAAACGATCGACCGAAACGCAGGTTAGTTTGGCTCTCCGTGGTCTTCAAGTGTGCGTTAATTAATTAGCAAACTTGTATTAAAATTTCATTAAAACAAAGCCGAGGAGAGCGTCGATTTTGATATAAAAAGGCTTGCAGTGCTTTGACTGAAAGCAAAGGCATTTTGCATAACGCGTTTCGAAATTGGCGGGCTCGCATTTTTTAAAAATTTTGTGGACTGCTTCTCTGGGTTAAAAGTCAGTGATACGTTTAAAGTGAATTGTTAATGGAATATTTCCATAACTGGAAGAGTGTGAGTGCGTGTTTTCAGTCTTCGCGTTCTCTTGGCACGCGTGCACTGGCCTATAAATGTTAAATTTATTCAAATATTTAACTTTGTCTGGGTTATCTTGGCCAACTTTCCATTTCGGCAGGGGGAACTTATCGCCCGATTCGCCTGTTTATGCCCATAAAAAGTTATATATTCCCACTCCCACAGCGCCACTGGGTGCTTTGAATAGTGAGCAGACAATCGAGACACATTGCTTGCACATTTATTAATATTGTTGTTTATCGACTACTATTGACTTATAATTATGTGCATTATTTACCATTTGCACCTGATGATAGCCAAGCCTCGTAGAAGGGTAATTGCCAGTAATCCCACGATTGCGCAACTTCCAGACCGTGTAATTAGATAAGGCCAAATTGTAATGCATTTTCAATGCATATATTTTTAATAATATTCTTTATTCGTCTTCTCTCCCATTTGACATTCATTTAACACTTGTGCGATGTCATTTGCCTTGGGTTAAACGAACGACTCTACCGGAGAATGTTTATTTTTAAAGAATTGTGCCATGCTTTTTGGTTTTTGAAAAACGTTTCCACTCTATGTGCGCATACATTAGCCCGATGTTCTACTTTAGCGTTCAGTTTTATGTACATATATATAAATGTTTGTGTCGAGCCATAGTGGTTGTTGTTGTTGTTTTTTTTATACTAATTAGACGACGGCTGGTGTGTGCGGCCGTCTTATCAAAATTATCATTGAAAAATAAGTATAGCAAGACGATTGGCGGGGTCACTCGATTTTATAAAACAAAAAAAAAAGCGGCCTGATAAGTAAACAAACGGCATTTCTGGGCCTTGGATCAGGCGATTTTTGCATAGTGCCCACGCTAAATTGATCATTTTATGATACTTTAAGTGCTCAGGTGTTATGTAGGCACTAGAAAATATTTGAGTATATCTTTTACACACAAAACTTGCCGTGTGATTGTGTGTAAAGGCCCGAAGTTTTATCTGCGCACTTCGACAACTTGAAATCGCACTCCCACCAAAAAATGAAAAACCAGAAAGCGAACCAAAATGAACATTACTTTTTCGGCTGAAGGTCGCTAAAGCTGATAAATTTGTTAGCTCAATCTCAGCGACAGAACATTTTTATAAGTCCTCCAGAATTTAAGAGGCAATCTATAGCTATACATTAAATTATGAACTTTGCCAGATAACAATAATGATGTATAACTGGCAAAATCCAGATTTTCTAAAGTTTGGCACATGCCTTCGATTACTAACTTTTCGGGGAAACTCACGAGTTACTCGATAATTTGTGCTAATCAAATTTGATAAATCAATCGAGTGGCAAATCGCGTGCCCCATCAATAAGTTAGTGTCTCCATTAAACGGATTTCGATTTGGTCTTATTGTAACGTCATCATATGATCAGAAAACCGGTTACACACGGAACAATCCCCCAGGCTCAAATTGGGCCAGTCAACTATTGGAATATGGCATTTCCTATATGCTAATTGCGTTTAACTAATCCAGTTTTATGCTATACCTATAACTCTGCCATTTTTCACAGTCCGTTGATGTCATTCAATCCCACGACATTATATTTGTGCTTGGCAAACCGTAGCCACTCGGAAATGTGATTAAGTTAGTTACTTTGCCACTTGATAAGGTGCTCTGCCGTGGGGTTATCAACTGAATCCCAGCCGTCATTGAGCAAAGTTTAGTTCCAATTCAAGACTTTTCTGTTGCTCTAAGCTCTGGCTTAACTTTAGTTGAGTATGTGTGTCACTCACTCCTTATCGCCCATGCACACTTTTGGATTATCAGATGGGCCTGGCTGCACATATAGAATCGGGTATAAATAGCAGTCGGGCGAACTTCTTGATTAGAAGCCACATCGAACCATAAATTTACGGGGGACAAGCCTTCTTCAGATTCAGAGCCACCATTAAATTCTTAGCCTAGGTCAATGCTAAATGTTATCATCTAAATACATATTATTTGTTAGTAATTAAGACTTTGTCTGTCTAATAATTGCCAAGCTTTTCACAAATAATGTGAGCAATCAAGTCTCAAGTGGGCCAACCTCGTGGGGAACTGATAAAACGTAGACCCTAATTTTGGCCAGAGAATTACTTAGAACCTTCAGCTGTCTGGGGCACCTGACTTGCTATAGGATCTTTTATATTTTCTTTTTAGGCAGCTCTTAATTACCCCTCATATTTGCAGTCATAAATAAGCCGGCCAAGAGCCTATGCACATTGTACTCGCAGGTAGCCGTCTTAGATGCCATCAACCTGTTGCGCAACGGAGCGTCAGCAGTTTCCATTGCCCTGATAAGCCGAAAAGATAAGAGTTGCTCTGGGAAGAGACTGCTGTGAATCAAGATCAATGGAAACTAAGGCTTCCGCCATAATGAGCTTCAATTGCGATCCAGCTGGCAATTGGAATGCCATATAAAAAACATACTTATAAGTCGCCGGCCGATCAATATCGCACTTTGGAAAAGCCATAAATGCGGGGCGATGTCAAAAGTCTGATGAGTAAATCCGATTTGAGTTGCCCCAATTATGGCCAAATTAAGCTTGTGATATTATGCCGGCAGACACGGCCAAAACCCAATACACCATCACTCAGTTCGTTATCAGTTGGCTGACAGTGGTTTGTGGTTTATGGTTTATGGCCCAAAGTTTTAGGGCCAGCAGCTAAAAATCACTTCTTAAGCAGCCAAGAACTATCAGCTGATATCGAATCGAAAGGGGGCTTATCAGCGGCGATTGATTAGTGGTTCTTCAGGCTAACAAGTTTTTTACGATGAGCTTCTGGCTAAAGGTTTATGGCCAACGTTCTTAGTCATAATTAACTTTGGTTACGCGCCTAAATTTCAAATTATCTACAGAGCTGCCAGACTGTTTGATTTCGATAAAAGGGTTGCATACTTTTCATAGCTGTTGTACAACAGAGACTTAACAGAGTTTAGTTAACAGAAGTGAACAGAAATTAATAAATTAAATTTAATTATATAATTAAATGTTTTTAAATAAAAAAATTTACATTTATTATTACATTTTCAATATATCTATGTAGCTAGGTATTTAATTACATAGTTAACCTTAGTATAAAAGTAAGATAATTAATAATATTTTCAGGCAATAGGATTAAACCTATTTATTAATTTTATTTAGGTTGTGAGTAAAACCATGTAAATAGGATTAAACCTATTTATTAATTTTATTTAGGAACCTGACTCTGCTAGTTGTTTAAAAACTCTTCTGTTAAAAAGCAATTACATTTGATAAAATGACTAAAATTTATAATTTAAATTAATTTAGCCAATTATCAAAGCCAACTTCCGCCGTCAAGTCATGTATTATTTCTGCCACCTAACACTAGCCCAAAAACTAAGACATAGAACCTCCCAGTCACGTTCCGTCACTTAGATAAACAATGAAAATAGATTATGACAATAAAGATCCATCAATTAGGGCCCTCTGGGTATCGCAGATCGTGGCCCATGCCGCGATCCCATGAATGATACGTGATCCTTCTGGGCATGGAAAATATAATAAAAGCGCAGGTGGTAATTAAATTATTAGCATGCGCTGTTCACTGTGATTTATTTTTAAAAATTTTGATCCATCGCGTGTTTATTGTTTTGACTTTGCACTCTTTGCCTTTTCGCCAAAACGTGTCGCTATCTTTTGACCAACTGTCACTGTGTTGGCCAAACATTTTCTCTTGGCCAAGGGCCAAAACGTTTTGTCTTTGCTATTTTCTGCACGACTTCCATTGCAAATGGTAAATAAAACTATAGTTGGAAAGCGATAAGTGCTTGGCAAAATATATGTACATATGTAGGGTCAAGAGTTCTGGAAATGTTCATTCATTCGCTGGAGAGATCACCTGGGTTATCGTGTCCACGCTTATGCAACACACTCGGGGCTTTCAAAACATCTATTTATTTTTAACTTTTTATTGCCAGCTGCCGCTCCAATTGTGATTGAGACATTTAATAGCGCAAATTGCGTGCAATTTGATCGACAGGCGTGCTGAGATTTGCTGTGATTTGTTTGCCACATTGCGTACTCCGATTCACGCAATGCAGCCTCAATTGCAATTGTTGCAGCAATTGCAATTGATAGAAACCGACGGTGGTAATTGATAGTCGGCCACTCTGTTATCAATCCGCACTGGCCAGTTTCAATTGCCCCAGAGCGTCACGCACTTGCACAGCAACCCAACCCTGCCCCATTTATACACAGCGAATAATTATACGCTTTTCCAATATCAATTAAGGCTTCATTTCAAGTTTAAATACCGCATTTGGCCAAAGTCATGCAATAACTAGGCTAACTTGGTTTCAAACTGTTTTCCCCTTACCTCTCATCAATAAATTTTTTGATACGAATCTAGCGATCGAAAGTCTTACCTTTCTTTTAATAATATATGCGTTGATTTTTCATTTAAAAATAGGAAATAAATCAATAGCCTCATTATAGCTTAATTAATTAATTTGCTTCGAATTTTTAAATTCAATTTACAAAATATTAAAAAAGCAGCAAAGTGGACTTTAATTTTATTGGCTGAGCATTAATGAGTCGAATTTTAAGATATTCATTCAGATGATTCATATTTTAAAAATATGAAGCTACTGAAATAATTCCATATGCTTATATATATATATTCCTTAGTAAACAAACATCTACAAACATCTAGGACCCATCCCCTATACAATAATTATAAGAAAGAATATGTTTTTCTTCAGTTTAAATTAAGTTTAAAACTAATCTGATTTATTTTTTCTGTAAGATTAACATTATCATTTCCTCTAATGTTTGTAAGCAGTTTATTCTCATTTTTAAAAATCTATTATTTTTCTGTAAATTAAATCTTATTTTCTTGATTTTACCCTTAATCCGGATTTTATATTGTATCTCTTGAAGAGAATGAAAAGATAATCTCTAAACTCTCATGACAAGTGTTAATATGTTTTTTTTTGCATTTCATGGATTATTATCTATATTGTTTCTCACATTTAATAATATCTTAATGCCGGAGATTGAAGCAGTGGAAGTGAGAGAGAGCATCGCTCCAGAGATTGTGGCACCTATAGATAAACGTTGAGAGCGAGTGAGATCGACGAATGAGCGTTTAGGATGCTCATAAATTCTGGACACTTGACTTTTTTATGCTCTGGCAGTAGGATTTGCTAATTTCTATATCTTTTCGTGTGTTTGTGGCCAGCTTCTCTGCTACTCTGCTACTCTCTCGCCACACGGATGCTAAAAATGGGCTTTTGATTTACGCAATATTATATAGATATAGATATAAATATTTGCCTATGGCTACTCCAACGCCTCAGATTGACATTGACAGTCCCGCTGTCGCTTTGTAAATTTTCACTCGCTTCAAAGCGGTCGGCATCGCGAAAAGTCCGCAAAAAGATAAAATATATAGTGAAATCTTTCTTTGGGATTTAAAACAAAAACCAGACAAGTGTCAAAATGGCCCGCGATATTCGGTAATTATGTGGGCTAAGAAAAAATAAAAGAAATTATTAAAAAATGCTTAAAGAAATGTGAATTGATTTCAAGTACCATGAAATTGATCATTTATAAAACACATAAAATACCTACCTATAATACTCCCAAAAGTATGTGAATTGATTACAAGGAACACGCATTTTATGATCGCAATAAACGGATTAATTCGTACAGTTTGGAAAACCAATCTTTCGAGTGGCCAACTGATAACACTGACAAAGATTGGTTATTGTTTTATGGCCATGCTTTGATTTCCTTTTTGGCTATTTATCTATGAACTCAATTGACTGCTGAACAGGCAATTGCCTATTGTACAATATATACTATATGGTATGTGGTACTCCAGGTTAATCTAACCGTCGATGGTTTTAGTCTTGTTCTGACATTGCCACAGCGGGCATCGTGATTCGGCTCCAAAAAAGAGTTGTATTTAGCCAAGGATTTTGAAAAATCGATGATATGTCAACGAACCGCGAACAACAGGGGATGGAAAATCCTATAGATATTACCCAAAAAGGAGAACAATTGCAAAGGTCTCGAATGAGGAAAATAGATAGAGTTCCGCAATAGTTAATTCTAAGCGTGGGGAGGAAAGATTAATTTCGAATTGAAAAGCTTAAGATAGTGATACTATAAGATACAAAATGATTGATGAAGTTGAAGTGTGTGAGGGAAAGAGAGAGAGATATTGGGGTAAAAGAGAAAGAGATATTGGTGTGAAAGAGAGGGTGGCTAGTTCAGCTTTTTAGTGTGGCATTGCTCAACCGCTCCTCTGACCTTTTCAGTTGCTGTAAGGTATTCACAATGAAGGGATCGACGCTGGACAAAATCTCCGCCTTCCTGGGCGAACTCCTCGGCACCGGCATCCTGGTCTTCCTGGGCTGCCTGGGTTGCGCCAGCCCGACCACGACCCCCAACAGCCATCTCCAGATAGTGCTCAACTTCGGCTTCGCCGTCCTCATTGCCATCCAGTGTTTTGGATGTGTGTCCGGAGCCCATCTCAATCCCGCCGTCACGGTGGCGGCCTACATCTACGAGATGGTGTCCCTGCGCATGGCACTGGCCTACTTTGTGGCCCAGATGCTGGGCGCCTTCATCGGCTACGGCCTGCTGATGATCCTGCTGCCCCATGAAAGCCTCACCGTGGGCGCCGGCCTCTGCGTGACCTTGCCCCACACCGCCGTGACCACCGGGCAGGCCTTCGGCATTGAGTTCGTCATCACCTCCATCCTGGTCATCGTCTGCTGCGGCGTCTGGGATCCCCGCAACTCCAAGTTCCACGACTCGGTGGGCATCCGCTTCGGCCTGGCCATCGCCTGTCTTGCCTGCGCTGCCGTAAGTATTAAGCTTAAATCATTCATTTTCCACAATAAATTCCAAGAATGGAGCAACCGCTTTTCTGGGATAAATAATAATTTGTCAATACACGAAAACAAGATCCATCCTTTTGTGGCGTGTTCAACAAAAATCAAAAAAATATATAAAAAATTAAATTCAACAAATAACTTACGCAATTTTTTTATGAAACGATTTTATTAAACTTCAGTTATAGAAATTTTAAATTTAATTTTATAATAATATAATGCAATATATATATATTGCATATATATATTTGGATACATTAATAATCTTGGTTATACTTGTAATTGTGACAATTTATATCTTGCAAATTTTAAAATAGTATTTTAGACTCTTAACAAATTTTATTAATTTACCTTATTTTCGGTGTATATAAATTATACATAGGTTAATGGATGTTATACTCAAAGCATTATAGAAAGTTTTGAATTAACATTTTTCTTGAAAAGATTTTTTTAATTTTTAATTTTCTAAGAAAAAATGACTGACAATTTGTGTTAATATTTTAACATGTCAAGCAAAGTTTCTTAAAACTATACAACTATACATTTAAATCTAAAAGAAAGCAAAAGATATTTTATACTTATGACAATCATTTAGAATTTTGATTATTAACCATAACCATTTTATTTTAGGGCCCCTTCACCGGCGCCAGCATGAACCCGGCCAGGTCCTTCGCCCCCGCGCTGTGGAACATGCATTTAGAGGACAACTGGATCTACTGGCTGGCCCCCCTCAGCGCCGCCGGCATCACCGCCTACGCCTACAAGGTCGTCTTCCGCCGCGAGGTGGTGGAGGCGGAGATCACCTCCAACGAGAAGCTGCGCCACTTGGAGGACGTCCAGCTGTCGTAGGTGCCAAAGACATCGATGTGGGAGAGCCTTAACTAATTTACTTACCATCTAAGACGCCGAATTTTATAATAATGCATTCATTGTACGCTAATATGAATAGTGTCTTCACAAAGTGTTCAAACATTACAAAAGCGTTACACTTTTGGAACAGAAACTCACTTGGTGAATACACTAATTGCCTTCAGTAATAAAGAACATCGAGATTTGTAATCTACTCTAAACCAAAACCAATGACTTTTTATTTTTTAATAAACTATATCAATAAGAGGGAGTCATGAAAAGGGATTTAAAACTTAACCAGTGTTCTGAAAACAGAAAATCAAGAGTGAATTTCAAGGATATAAACTTCAATATTGAATACTTGAATAATAATGTTATTATAATTACATGATCTTTGGAAATGGAATTAAGCTGATTTTCACAAATCGCGTATATAGCATCTTAAATACATTCTTTATAACAAAGAGCTTCAATGCGTTACTTTATTTATAAAGGAAATGAGTGTTTGTCTTTCAATTTTCAAATGAGGGTGTTTCTTTTCCTTGTTTGGATTAAGTTTGGTTGTCCTCTTTTATCGATTCTTCAGGGCAGGGGAATATCACCCCACCCCAATTAAGTTTATAAAAGGGCACTTCTTAGTTAAGAACTAGTTTTCAATATGAAAAAAGAGTAAACAGAAAAATTCAAGACCAGCTGGTTTAAAAAAATAGAAACCAAGAAATATTGCTTATTACCAGTGCTGAACATATTGAATTTATATTCATAGTTGACTCTTTTTATTTTAAAATAAATTTTAAAGAGCAGACGAATTTATGTATTTTTAACTTTGATTAAAAATTTAAAGAAGTAATAAACACCTCAAATTTGGATAATTATGAAAATATTTTTTTATCTCAATCATTTCACTTCAATCATATTAACTACTTGAGGTTAGAAAACTGAATCGGGGAAATGATATATGTTTAGATTTTGTTCTCATATGAATCCACAAAAATGGTATTTAATCCAGGTAGCAAAAATAGTCGTTACTTGAGACTTTTATTTGTTAAGGACTGCTGTGATTTTATTTATTTTGTTTCCAATTTGACTGTGTCTTTAATCGCTTTGTGGTGTAAGTCTTGATAAATCACAGTAGTTCTTTTAAAATATAAGTCTTTATGAATTAAATTAGTTCCTAGTTAAATTCTAACCGCTTCGGGAGCATATTTTATAAAACGTTTTAAACGGTTGTGCGTTGAATATATTATTAATATTAGATACCATTAATAATAATGTTGAACGTATATGTTTCCTCTGAAATTGTATGTGTTAAGGTCAGCCAGTGAAAAAACCTAGTCATTTGAAACTTTGGTCATAAGATTTTTAAACAATTTAAGTATTTACAAATCGACCAATCAAACTACACTTAGCGAAATCTTATCAGCAGACTGCGAATTTGGCACACCCACCAACTTATTACTCCTGACACGACAGAAAGTATACTAATTGAATCGAATTATGGCATGTTATGGAGTTTAAATTGGACTATGGACTATGTGTGATATGCTAATGCTGGATTTTCTTCTCTTCAAAAATTCCTTGAAATAATGTTTATGAATGAGTGGCGTTAGGAGACTATAAACCTGGTTTATAACGCCTCGTTGTATCGACCGTATTCAGACATTGGCTGGCCCGGAAAGTGTTGTCCAAGTCTTGGCGCCCCATTCGTCCGCCCGATAAAAATCTTAATGAGATAAGATTGAGCGCAAATCGAGCGAAACGGCAGTGGCGCTTATCAGGCCGATAATTACGGCTGAGCAAAGCCCCCCAAAAATGCCCCTTGATGAATTGATCTATCCAAAATGGCCTGCTACTACTGCAAAATCTCTGCTCGATAATTAGCATTATGGTTTTATAATGGATATTGATTGATTGCCCCAAATTTGAAGTCGTATTTCCACTTCTGCAGCTGCCCATTATTTTGGCAGTAGTGCTCAGTCAGTATGTCGCAACAGAAGCAAAAATCGCTGGAGTCCAATCCGAACGCCAGGTGGCGCCTGCAAGGACACCATAGATCGGCCATATCCTGCTTTTTCGGGGAGTTTGTGGCCACTGCACTGTTTGTTTTTGTGGCCTGCATGGGATGTGTGGAATCGCCAGCCTTTCCGAACTCCCACTTTCGCAGTGGTTTGACCTTTGGCCTGGCCATCCTCATAGCCATCCAGTGTTTCGGTTCTGTGTCCGGAGCGCATCTGAATCCGGCCATTACCTTGGCTGCCTTTCTTTACGGTGTGATTGGTTGGATCAAGGCCATTGCCTATTTTGTGGCCCAGGCAGCAGGAGCTTTGATTGGATATGGTCTCCTGGTGGCTGTTCTGCCGCAGAGTTCCATTAAAGGAGTGGACGATCCGGCGGGGGCTTGTGTGACAGTGTTGGCATCGGATATCAGTGAGGTGCAAGGTGTCTTCATCGAGTTCCTCATCACCTGCTGCCTGGTGATGGTGGCCTGTTCGGTGTGGGATCCCCGCAATGTCAAGCTGCAGGACTCGGTGGCCGTGAGATTCGGCCTGGCCGTTTCCTGCCTGATCCTCACAGCGGTTAGTATTTGTGCATAAGCATATCAAAAGGCTAAGACTTAATAGCGAGTTATCCTTTCAGGGTCTTTTTACGGGAGCCAGCATGAATCCCACCAGATCTCTGGGTCCCGCTGTTTGGAACAACTCCTGGGAACATCATTGGATCTACTGGGTGGGTCCTTTGGTGGCCGGTGCTGTGACATCACTTATCTATAGGATGGCATTTAAGGGCGAAGAAGAGGTCGATCTAGGAAATTCCAACGCCAAGATCCGCATGATCGGAGAGGTTGTCATACAATAAGTTTTAGTTGCCTACAATAGCTGTACTAATCGAATCTTTACGAAATAAATATTATGTTACTATTTATACCTGCATGTTTCTTAAAACCTTATGTATATTTAAGCTGTTCCTCTTATTTGGTTGTCATATATTTTTCTCGCACTTTCCATAATTTTAAGTCATTTTATTAATTACTAAAATTATTATTTTAATTATTACAATTACTTAAATTACCAGGACAAGTTGCATTTTAATAACACGAAAGTTTTCAATCTGTTTGTATTGTGAACACGAATCTTTAGAATTCTAAATCCGTTTCAGTGCTGATTCGGAAACCACAGTATTTAAAGATTTTTAAATACGTTCTTACAATAGAGTTTCGGATTTTTGGAAAAAATTGATCAAATGTTGGAATGTTATACTGAACTCGTTATAACTCGTTATAAAATTCCCAATCGATTGGCATTCACAGCTAAAAATTTCATTTTTGGTCTATTTTTCGCCAAAAAACACAATGTAACCCCTTATAAAAAAAAATGCCGAGATTCTGATATCCGGAAAAATCAACTTTTAATTCGGATTTTTTTTCAAATCCCTGGGAAATAATGGTCATATGTTGGAATGTCATACCTCGTTGAACTCGTTATAAAATTTTCAATCGATTGGCATTCACAACATAAAAAATTTTATTTTGGTCCATTTTTCGCAAAAATGTCATAAAGAAATGTTTTTTATGGCAATATCCAGAAAAAATTAACTCGAGTTTCGTTTTTTCAGACCTTGTATATAATGGTCAAATGTAAAAATGTCATAATTTTCAATCAATACTGAAATTTTTAATTACTGAACAACTTTAGCAAAACAGTTTTAATCGATTTCATAGCATACATTCGGGATGCGGTAATATTGACATGTTTGGGGGCTCGTATTTGTTTGTAAAACGAAAACACACAAGCAAATATATCAAAATAAAATCCCATAAGCTCATAAAAATATTTATTATTGTTTACTGATAAGGAAACCCTTTAAATTGATTAGTTTGATAACACATTACAGGGGAATAATTTGCAAAAGGTTCTTCAGATAATACGCCATGACGAAAACAATTGATTTCTAAGTAAGCCACTTGCAATTAAACCCATGCAACGGCACCATGACAAAAGCATATCGATTGTTTATGGCAACTGTCTTATCAATCCATTAAAGATACTTGTAATATGTCGAGCAACAAGTCTCAAATTCGGACTAGCCAACGTCATGAAAGGGGCCTAACGCACTCGACTGGAGTGAATGGAGCACACGATTTGAAATGTTTGCCAATACTTAAGTAAATACAAGTTTATGGGACGGACTTCCAGCTGATAAACGACCCGGGGCGATTAGTCGACCTGATATATGCGGTACGAGATTGCCAGAGATTAAGCGCCGGCGATAGAGCGACCATTGAGTAGTTGGACTGCACTCAAGTCCATGTTGAACCTCGTCTCCGTTTGGGTTAATCGCTCGTGGCCACTCAAATAAATCATTATAAACTATTACCAGTGCTGAACATTTTGAATTGATATTCAAGTTGACTATTTTTATTTAAAGAGCAGACTAATTTATATATTTTAAACAGAAAACTGAATAGGGAAATTGATATTATGTTTAGATTTTGTTCTCATAAAAATGGTGTTTAATCCAGGTACCAAAAATTGTCGTTACTTGAGATTTTGATTTGTAAAACACTGCTGAGATTTTATTTATTTTGTTTTAAGCAATTATTTCAATTCCTAGTTAAATTCTAACCACTTTTTCCTTTAAAATTGTAAGTGTTAAGGTCAGTCAGTGAAAAGCTAGTCATTTGAAACTTTGGTCATAAGATTTTTAAACATTTTAAGTATTTACAAATCGACCAATCAAACTACACTTAGCGAAATCTTATCAGCAGACGGTGAATTTGGCACACCCACCAGCCTAATTCTTTCCAGACACGACAGAAAGTATCGAATCGAATTAGGGCATGTTATGGAGTTTAAATTCAAAAATTCCTTGAAATAATGTTTATGAATGAGTGGCGTTAGGGGACTATAGACCGTATTCAGACAGTGTCTGGCCCGGAAAGTGTTGTCCAGGTCTTGGCGCCCCTTTCGTCCGTCGATAAGGATCTGAATGAGATAAGAGCGATTAGGCGACCTGATATTCGCGGTACGAGATTGAGTAGTTGGACTGCACTCCAGTCCACGTTGAACCACGTCTCCGTTTGGGTTAATCGCTCGTGGCCACGCAAATAAATCATGGCTATAACCACAAGGTGATCTTAAGTGAATAGGCTAATGAACCGGAAACTAAAAAGTGAAAAAAGCTATTCATTTATCATTTAAATATATTTATTTGTGTATTGTCTAAAATCATAGTGACTACAAACAAATCTAAATACTAAATTCTTTGTTTTTATTTAAGTGAAGTGGATAAATTACTATAGTAAACATTCAATTTTTGCACATTGAATGTTGCTTGTATAGGAAAGAGGAAAATAAGATGAGATAAAAAGATTTTGTGACTAAAAACTAAAATCACTTTATTATTTTAAATAAAACATGAACAGTGTATTTTAGAATCTTAAACATCGATATTGATCTTTTTTTTTTATGTTAATAAAGCTCTCATCATTTTCTATTTTATCTCCTTTTTTAATAGTGTGATTATATTCTTCAATTATTTTCAATTTATACAATGTTGCTTATACAGAAATTATGGAATTAAAAAGTTCCTTGCAACATATGTGAATGCCGTCGCTTATTCAGATTATTTACCGACCTAATTTGAAAATGATTTTTTTGTAACTGGATTATCCTCTCTGTCTTACAGCCAATCAACCTGCTGGTTTCTGCAACGTCGCCAGTTGGACAATATCTCCATAGTTTTGGCCGAGATGATTGCCACGGCGATGCTAATGTTTCTGGGCTGTATGGGCTGCATCGAGAACTCCGTCTTCACCAACTCGAACTTCCAGAGTGCCCTCAACTTTGGATTCGTGGTGCTGATCTGCATCCAGTGCTTCGGCTGTGTGTGTGGAGCCCACTTGAATCCCGCCGTGACCTTGGCCTCCTACGTGTACAACATGATCTCGCTGCCCATGGCACTGGCCTACTTTGTGGCCCAGATGGTGGGTGCATTCATCGGATACGGACTGCTGAAGGCCGTGCTCCCCGAGAATGCCATCTACAGCACGTCCACGCCCAATGGCGTTTGCCTCACATTGCTGAACAGCACCTTGACCAGCTGGCAGGGCATGTCCATCGAGTTCCTGATCACCTGCGTCCTCATCTCCATCTGCTGTGGCGTCTGGGATCCCCGCAATGCCACCAAACAGGACTCCGTGCCAGTGCGATTCGGTCTGGCCATCGCCTGCCTTTCCCTCACGGCGGTAAGTCATATAGGAATCTTTCAATACACTTGAAATTAGTTTATTTTTGTAATATAGCTTAACTTATACTCGGTTTCTTAAAGTTTTTTGGATTTTCCCAAACATCTTAGTTAAATAAAGCCTCTTTAACATAAACATTTATTATCTGACAGCATTAATAAATATCAAAGAATCAATCAAAGTTATATAGGAATCCTTCAATAAATTTCAAATTAATTTGTTTCTGTTATGAAGGTTAACTTACCAGCGGTTTCTTACAAATTTTTAGATTATCACAAACATCTTAGTTAAATAAAACATTTATTACCTGACAATATTAAGAAATATTAAAGATAATACCTTCTCTGGAAAAAATATAACTATATTAAAAAATGTAACATAATTTGAAGTTTTATATGCCAAAACGGTGTAAATTTATTTGATAAAGAAAAACTAGATACAACTTACTCGGACAGTTTTGCTAATTAATCTTTTGGAACTTTTCTCTAAGTACTGTTCTTAAAGAATTTTAGATTAGAAAAGAAATATTTTAGATTTATCAGGCAAATGCACTTGAAAACTTTGTTGATAATAATAAACTTAGCAAAGCATGGCCCATAATCATTCTTAATATTTTAAAGATTAGCTAAAATCAATTCTACACATCTTATAACTGTCAAATAAACGATATAGATTTAAGTGCTTGTTAAGTATATCATATATTTATAAATAATAATTTTAAAGAGCTTTATTTTAATTAATAATAATAATTTACCTAACTTACAGGGCCAAATGACTGGGGCCAGTATGAATCCCGCCCGATCCTTCGCTCCGGCCATTTGGAATGGAGTCTGGGCCAACCACTGGATCTACTGGGTGGGTCCCATGGCCGGAGCTCTGGTGACCTCGTTGATCTACAAGCACGCCTTCCGGCGGGAGGTCGAGGATTCGGAGGTGGATGAGGCCACCATGTCAACCAAACGAACCTCTGAGGCGGAACTCGCCTAGAAATGATTTAATACCCATAAGGCATGCTATCGTTTAAGTCTGTGTGAGTTGAATGCGGTTTAGTTTTAAGTTGCAAAGTGTACAAATATAAATACCTTAAAAGAAATCTTACGGCTGCCGTCTATATAAATAATCTAATGTAAATGCTATGCTTATCTGAACGAGATTACTTTTATGCCACCGCGAAATGCTTATCGTTAATATTTAATTGCCCATACACTTGATCAAATAAACCACACAGTAGCCACAAATGCCGAGCTCACGTTTATTGTCGTTCACGGGGTTTAGAGCCCTAGTTTATTCCGGTGCAAATGGGGATTTCCAAGGGCTTATAGCGCGGCGTAAACGCATTACTCCAGATAAAGGGTACCATGATGGCGGCCAAGATCTGGCCAGTTAGCAGCAATACCACCGAGTCCAGTTTTCCGTGGAAAATGGCGGGCACAAGTGTCCTGGTCGGGTTCATGGAGGCTCCAGTTAATTGACCCTGTTAATGGAAAGATGGGGCAATTTTTTACTTATTTATACTAGCTCTGATATAGTGATAACTTATCACTTATCAATATCAGTTATGTTACAAAAATCTGTAGCTATTTTCAATCACTTGCGAAAAGGAAGGAAAGAAAGCCGGGAGAATTTACTAATAAATAACCAGGTAATACGATTTTAAAGCACTTATTTTAAATGCCTTGACCTTGAGCCACATAAATTAAACTACTGCTTATCTATATATTGACTAAGCAAGTTAAAAAATATACATCAGTAAATTTACAACTTAAAAAATGACCACTACAAATATATTTCGCGAATACAAATGGCGATGATTGTCAGAAATTATTTTACAGAAACAAGGATTATTAACCTTTAACCAAAATTGAGTTTCATTTATCCTTTCCTTTTGAAGTTATTACTTTTTAAATATTTCTTAACATAGATGATAGTACAAAAGTTTAAGGGAAAAATAATTAAAGCAAATCCGTTTAGAAAGCATTTTAAAACCTAAATCAGACTTACCCCAGCCAAACTGCAAGCGACCACGAGGAGACCCATTCGAATGGTGACCGAGTCCAGGAAGCGTCCATTTCGCACATCCCACAAGGCGCACCATCCGAGCACAAAGATTGCGGTGAGTAGGCATTCGATGGCCACAATCTGGTAGCCAGATAGACTGTGCAGCGGTTCCATTAGGCAAACTGCTGGCTTGCTGTTGTCCACCACATCCTTGGGCAGCAGTTGGAGCAGCAGGAAGTAGCCAAAGAACCCACCGGTCACCTGGCAGACCACATACATCACCATCATCTCGGAGGCGATGTAGCCCATGAAATAGCACGAGATTGAGATGCAGGGATTGGCATGGGCCCCGGATACGAAGCCAAAAACGTGCATCACCACCATCACCGCCAGTCCGTAGTGAACGCTATTGAAAGGATTGTTAAATACCATATACTTTATTCAATAAAAAATTCAAAATATTTATCACCTGGCCACCAAGGATCTGTTCTCGCCACCTTGGTTCATCGCATCGCCCATGCAACCAAACAACATCAATAAAGCTGTGGCGCTAAACTCGCTGACACCGCGTATGAAGGTTAGGAAGTCCCAAGTCATGAGGAACTATCTGCAATGGTTGTGTAACACGAACGATTTAAAAAAATTCAAAGAAAATTATCAAGTTCCAATTAAAGGATTTAAGTCTGATATTGGTTCTAAGTAGTAATGTGAATGCTTTATTGTATAAGCTTGTAACATGAGTGTAAAGGTTTGCTTTGATCAAATCTGTTTAAAGGTGATTTACATAAATTAATAAAAACTATACAAAATTAAATAGAAAAAAAAAATTAAATAAAATAAAAAGGTCCGAAAAACCAATACTTTTTCTATACTCATTTGTTTTACAAAAAAATCATTAAAATATCTCTCTATTTATTTTGATTATAAGCACACCAATCTAGTCATCGTTAGATAAGTTGTCAATAAAATGGCAACACATTTTTATTTTTAAAGTTTTCGTACAGTTTGAAATATGTTCCGGGGGGCATATAAGGTTTTCGCTTTTATAAAGCCAAGTAATGTCTGGTTGAAGAACAATTTAATGTAGGTCCTTCGCCTGTTTTAATTAACAATCTTAACAATCCATTTGTACTCCAGCAAAAAGCGGTTCTTCAGCGATCTCTTCGACAAAGGTGGCAGAAACAGAGGCGGAATCGAACCGTACCATGTCGTATGTATCTCAGAGTACCTATTTTATTTTTTTTATCTAAGCCTAATTAATAATTATATATCCTAAGAAATTGCTACAAGTCAATAAGGGAAAAGAGGCAAGAATCATTGAACTAACCGCACAAATCGAGGTTATTCAAATGCAAATTAAAGCCCTTGAGAAAACCAAGTCGTCGGAGGCACAAGCTGCGAAGGAAGAACTTATGGTAGTCCTTAAAGATCTTAAAGATGCCCTCCGGAAATTGAGAATGAATAATTAATGAAGATTTTCTTAAATTATTAAAAAATGTACGACGATATCGTTTTTCACAATTTATAATTAGAGTTTTATTTATTATTTAAAATATTCTTTTAAGTTTTATTTATTACTGAAAATATTATACATACTTCTACATGAACTTGACATCTGCAATGCATACGCCACCTGTTGGAGAACTAGAATTCATAGCATACTTTTCGGCTTTAACACGAGTAGTATTCGTTTGTCAATATAATTAAAATTGATTGGGGCCTTTCCCTTTCTCTTCCCCCCTCATCTGTATTTCATAACATTAAACTTTGAAAATTCTATCAAATTTTTAGCAACAATCAAAATTAACCGGTTTAATTTTCATCCACTCGAACATGAATACAATAATCCGTTCTATTTTGAGCCACTTCAGAAGTTGCACCATTAGGTAAGTATAATCCAATGAACTGAAATATATTACATAAATTACCATGATATTTCTTAAATATTATATAGGAGCTATCTGGTGGTCTTGCCTGATAACAGACGTATAGAAAAACAGCTTATGCTGGAGGAACTACGAACGGTATGTTAGAGATAAGTGATCAATCTGAATTAAACTATATGTTGTATCACTAGGAACGTGGAGTTTTGGACCTGCGATCCCACGAGCTCTCAGTGCGGCAGAAAAGCATTGAGGGCAACCTAACCGATCTAACGCGTTGCATAAGGGGCATGGAGTTTGATTTGAAGGTGAATTCCGATCTGGAGAGGAAGGGGAAGACGCAGGCACGTGCAGGCAGTGAGCCGCTCGATGCCCAGCAAGGCGATAAGAAATCACCCAAAGTCGGTGATTTCAGCGAATAGCGAAATCCCCTCGGGTGCTTCCCAGCGGATCCCATGGGGCACAATAGGAAGAGTATATAAACACGAATTCCGCCATAGATTGCCATTCAGAAAGATTTGAGATTACCAACCATGAAGCTGTTTGCACTGTGCTGCCTCCTGATTTTGGGCCTTCTGGGTTGCCTGCCCGCTCCCTCCGCCGGATTGCCATCCCGTCACTCTGGACCAGGAAACGGAGCTCCTGGTAATCCCTTCAGGAATCCACCCCCAAGACAGCCAAAACCGTTCTACTACGACTCACCTGTCGGTTCCCGGCCCAAAACCATGTACGCTTAAGCGATAACATTGTGGTGTAACAATAAAGTACTTGAATTTGCTAAACGAATCGAAGATTTTTCTTTACTTATTTATGGGAGGGAGAAATAATTTAAATAATTATAATATATTTATGGCTTTTGAAAAAATACGACTCCAAAAAGAATATTTCTTTCCTAACCAAATTTGAACCTATAAATAAGGTGACCCGCCATTTGTTCAGCCCCAAAATAATTAGCTTTTTAACATAACTGGCTTTCAATAAGTTGCCAAAATTGTACTTTGGAAGCAATCATTAATATGTGTTTCTGCCACCCATTTTAAATAGCATTCTAAATTTAAGAAATCATGTTCGGTACGGTGAGATTTCTAAGCTTAAGAAAATTCAACAGAATACTACAATTGCGGGTGTTAAGTCAACAAAGTGTTAAGTAAGTTGTTTGAATCATATTGATAGTAACCATCTTTATATAGATATCAGTTTGCCATCTAGAAAATCATGCAACAGTTCACCCAAGAAGAATGGCATAAGTTTTAAAGGCTTATCAAAGAATATTTTGTACGGACAAGCTTTACAGTAAGTTCAAAAAAATTTTAACTTTTTAAGGCTTAATAAAAACTAATACCTACATGAACCAGTGATTAAATACAGTTTAACTTCAATGTTAAGCAAGTCAGACCTCTGTTTCATTAGATAAAAATTATTTTTCTTAATACATTTTTGTGACATTGAATATGGAAATACAATTGTAGCTTTGTTTCTTCCTAAAATATTCTCCGAGATATAATAATTTTTAGCGATAGAAAAATTGATCGGAAAATAGACTTAGCTTTATTGTTTTTGAGCTTCGAAATCGAAATATAGAATATTTTATTTTTGTTACAGCTTCAAGCGTATATAAACTTCGGCTTGCCGAATTTCATTGTTTAAATAATATTATAAAACTCGTTTGTAAGGTTCAACCGGCGACACTTTTCTGACAAATTTACAGAAAAAGGCAGAGGCGACGAACTTAACTATTTTCTTAAACTTGTGAGTATCTAAAAATATCGAAATCGGTCGTTAATATTTAAAAACACAATTATCCTATAGGGCAATGAGCAATTCATAAAGCTCAGAAAGAACAGGATTCAAGAAATTACTAATAGTATTGAAGCCTTGGAAAATGAGGTCAAAAAACTTGAAAAACAAACTAGCCGCAGAGCAATGAAGTTAAAAGAGAATCTTTTGAAGGAAATAAACGATCTAAAGGAAATGTTAGAGAGATTCAAAGACACTCTCGAGAAGGAGAACAAGGAATGAGGAATATTCAAAAGTAGGCTTTATAATCAAAATCAAAATATAGGAACACAGTTTGCCATTAACATTTCCTTAAGTCGTAAAAAAATTTAAAATTTGGTTTATTAAATTCTAAATTAATTGGATATCCAGATAGTACCATACCGTGAGGGCGAATAAAAAATGCTTAAGGTAGTGCAGAAGTTAATTCAACTCTTACAGCCCAGGATGAGCCAATTTGCTCAAAGCAATAAGTAAGTTATATCTAAAACTATATTTATTGTAAATAATGCATTTCTATATTTAGGAATTTATCCAAACATTTGTTTGAAAAAGCAAGGGCGCAGGAGAATATTCATTTCTTAAAACTGGTTTGTGATCCATGCATACTTAACATAAATATTTTATTAACTTCCCATATTTAACCAGCAAAGAGAGCAGCTAAAGTCCCTGAGAGAAAAAATTCTCAGTCAGAAGAACGAAGTCACGACGAAGATCATCAAAGTGGATAAACTGATACAATCTTTGGAAAAGACCAAGAAAGAAATTAATTGAAATCGCATAAAATCTATCGTGCAGTTCAGGTCCACTTTTTAAACATAAAGGATTTTTAATAAAGTGTGGCAGAAACCAAAACAATTTTTTTTTTTTTTTGTATTTTATTTAAAATAATTTGTATCTTTCATTTACACGCTTTACAAAGAAGTCTTCTACGACAACTGAAGCCCAGTCCGAGGCCTTTCTCAAGACCCTTTTTATAGTGGGAGCTTGCTTATACGTACGGTACATATATCATATATGGTAACAATTTGTTTTGCAGCGCAAATGGAAAATAAGATATTAAAAAGAACTTTCATTTAATATGGCATTCAAACAAACATATATAGGGGGTCATATATATATCAACATAGTCTATACAAAGATAAAAATAAATACAAGTACAAGTAAAAATTAAAATCAGAGACGACTGCCAATTGTAATGTTTCATTTACATATATGGAGTTCTTCTCTTAGGACTATGAAAAATAATCATTTGTGCATTTCATATTTGTTTAAATCGTTAGTGGTGGTAGCAGAACGTAAACTGAAGTCAAGAAACGTAAGTACAATACATTTGTGGTAGTTGAGCAACTTGGAGAGAGTGGTTCCCATACGAACTAAAACTAGAAACTAACTAAACTTGACTTGACTTGGTCAAGTGCTGGTTAGGCCAGAAGAGAGTGTATCTGTGTGTGTTTGATAGCTGAGTGTGTGCATCTTGTGTGTGTGCTTGTGAGGTAGGCGATTCATCATAAGATTATGGCATACTTCCGAGCGCCTCCTGGTCCTCGCTTGCGGTTCTTGGGTTCTGTGTGTCGGGGGGACTCGCTTCTAGCTTTCAAATACTGATCAACAATGCCAGGAATGTCTCTCTGTTTGTGTGTGTGAGTGTCTGTGTGGATGTGTAGCTGTGGATCCTGCTTTCAACTTATGACTAACTCTAAGGCTAACTCTAGCCGATCTCCCGGCCACGCCCTCTGCCTGCGAACGTGACCACCGAGGCGGGTTTTAATTCTATAAACTAATGTAACATGAAACGGCGATGGGCTGTTGTTGCTCCTTCTGCTGCACTGCCTCCTAACTGGGCAGCCGCTTGCTGGCCAGCTCCTGCAGCTTCTGTAGCGCCAGCGTCTTGTTGATCTCCACCAGATCGCGACTGTGCTTGGCCGCCTGCAACTGCACCTCCAGGATCTTCATGCGCATCATGTGCTCCTTGCTCTGCATCTCCATGAACATGCGCAGCTCAAAGTTGTTGTTGCTGCTGCTGTTAACATTTGGGCTGGCTGCTGTCCTTGCGTTGGCTACTCCATTGCTGCTGCCGCTGGACCGCTCCAAGGCCTGAGAATCCGACGCAACAGGCACTGAGTTGGCCAATGCCGATGGCTGGTCCTCGCTGCCCAATGCACTGCCACTGCTGGTGCGCTGCCTCTTGGCCATGGACTTCATTCCCTCATCATCGTCCTCGTTGTTGTTATTGTTGTTGTTGCTGTGCTGGTGGTGCAAGGCAACTTGGGCCTGCTGGTGCATGGCAGCCGCTGCCGCCGCTGCTGCATTGGGAAATTGGCCAGATCGCAGGGCATTCAGGGCCTCCAGCGTGGCGGATATGTTGTTCATGTTGAAGTTGGCCTGATAGCCGGTCAAGTCGGCTGCTCCCGGCAGAAAGGCAGCACCCGTATCTAAGGCAGCTGTTGCGGAAACTGTGGCAGGACTTTCGGCCTCATGGATTCCATTGCGAATGATGTGATTGGGCGACACACTCAGACGCTCGCCACCGCCATGGATGTCGCTCTGGTTGAGATGCGTGTTGTTAAAGGTATTGTTAAAGGTATCGTTGAAGGTCTCGTTGATCTCCTCCTCCTTGATGTCCACATCGCATAGTTCCTGCGGCGGTGTGCGACTGCTGCTTAAAAAAGAGTTTTTGTTATAGATATCTCTAAACATCCGTTCAACCATCAACTTACTCATCCATATCGTGCTCTTCGGTATTGAATTTGTAGTCTTCGCGATATTCAAATCCCTCCTCCAAAGCCAGGGGAATCTTAGAGTAGTCTATGCCATCCAGGGCTTCCGATTTGCAGGCCTTCTTTGCCTCCTGCATGAAATCCCACACTTCGAAGGTGAAAGGCGAAGGCTTCTTGCGATCAGCCACCTCGGCTCCAAACCTGGCCAAACGATTGTTGTAGTCCAGAATTTCATTTCGAGTGCAGGCTGAAAAATACGATTATATATTAAAATCATTTACGTTTTAAAAAATCCAGAAGTAATTAAATTATAATAGTTATGGGAAGATTTAAGTTAATTATGAAACGTTTTTAGATAAGTTTAGTTTCGTTTCTATTGTTTACTTAATGTTTATTTATTTTTGAATTTATTATGATGAATTAATGACTTTTATATTATAATATTAAGATATACCTTTCATGCGTCGCCACTGTTCCTTGAGGCGATTGCAGGTGCGATCGGTGCCGAATTGATTGGAGAACTTCTGGTGAATGATCTTCCAGGCCTTGTTCTTCACAGCAGTTAGACCGGCATCCAATCTTTTGTTCTCGATGATACGCATGTCCTTGCGGCACAGATCGAGCAGATATTTCTTCTCCTGGTGGTTCCAGTTCTGGGTGCGTTCTCTTTTCTTGTACATGTTCATGGATGGACTGTTCATGTACTGTGTCATTTCTGTGAAAATTTCGATAGATCGAGTTTAGAATGACTTGATCACGAGAGAGACAGCGATTTGTTAAACTTACCCGTCTTTATGTCGACGCCCTCCAGCAAACCGTGATTGGAATTTTGCCAGTTGGCGGCGATCTTCATGAAAGCCTCCAGATCGTTGGCCGTATACTGTTTGTTGACCTGCAAAAGAAGCAACGAGTGGTAAGAAATCAGAAATCAAAAATCAGTAATGAGAAATCAGAATCAAGACTCGTTTGCCCATTGATTAGTCCTCAAATTACCGGCATTTATAAATTATAAACCCAATATCGGCCGTCAGTACTTGGACATGCAAGACTTGTGCCAAATTCCCCACTATACGAAAGTGCTTTGGGACGCACTCGAAAATCCATTGAACCTGATGATGAATTCGGGCAAAATCGAAAACAATCGAAACAAAATGAAGTTTTTTTTGTTGGTATTTAACAGAGTGCTACTTGGGGCACATCAATTAAATATTTGTTTTCGGACAGAAGAGTCAGTGAAAACAAAAGGATTCTGATTCTGAGCCGAGTCTGGAATTGTTTCAGCTCCTTTTACGTTCTCTTTTATTTCTTCTGTGGAATTATTCTACCCTGGATGATATCTGACTTTGACATGACTGCCGCTGATATTGCCGAGCAGCTATAGATGCAGTCACATTAATTGATTTTCAATTAGCCGACAGGCGGACAGATGAACTGAATGGAGAAAGGAGGGGAGGTGTGAGCGATATCGGGGATATAATGCTTCCAAGCCATAACGAAATGGGCTAAAAAGAATATGAATACGAACAATCGAATGAATTGAACACCCGCAAGACGGGAAAAAAAACCATCAAATAATGGCATGAAACGCGTTTTAATTTATAAGCTAACAAAACTCACACAAAAAAGGCAGCTGCCGACATTTTGTTTGGTTCGAAAACGTATCTGTGTGTTTGCCTAACATCTGAGTATTTGTGCGGCTGAGTGGGGTGATCAAGAGTCATACTGACAGCCAATTATATCTAATCAAGTATATTCAAATGTACACTATAAGTATATTTGAATATGCATTTATTCAACCAGTTCTGGTTAGTTTAGAACATTAACTTGAGTTGATTTCTGGTGAAATCAAGAAAAACTCCCGCATTATTAATCTGCCAACCCGAAAATGTTTTCCAAATTGTGATGGCCCTAAAATTATCAAATGACGAATAATGTAAATTTAGAGTGCCTGTAAACACAAGACAATCCCCAAATGGTTTATTTCCCCCCACTCAAGCAGCTCAACTGTACTTGTTAAATATCGTCTCCCTAAAAACTCTTTCATTGATCGCCTGCTCCCCATCTACACAATCGTCAATCTTAAGTACGTTTTATTGTGCTTTATTTTATTTCAATTTTGTTCAGTCGTTCGCTTGATTCGCCTTCTTTACCCTCCTTACCATCAAACACCCACAAGTCTTGGCTGTAGAAACTGCGCCATGTGTTCAATATTTATGCCGTATCTGATTTACAATTTATATATGTGTACATTATACATACGTATCTAGATATGTACGTTCGTATTTATCGCATACTCAAAGATTGAAAGGAGACTTAGTCATTGGAGAATAAACGCGGCGCGTGCGCTTATTATTATTATTATTACTATTTGTACTCTTCCTATATATAAATACATATTTATTAGCAAACAATTAATTATTACTGTTGACTATTATGGTAATGTTTAAATTTTAGTCATGAACTGCGGGGTGGTTGGACCTTTTATTTTGGGAATGTACAGAGAAACAAAAAAAGGTTTACTATTTATTATTTGTTAACCGATATTGCGATGACTAATGTTTCGATTTATCCAAATAGTTTTAAAAGGAAATAAAAACATTATATTTGTTTAAAGGAATTTGACTAAATAGAATTTGTCATTATAAATGACGGTGAAATATTTATGAAGACAAATTCTATTTAGTGACTGTTTTCCAAATGTTTTCATTTATAATGAATCAATATTTATGAAGACAAATTTTATTTAGTGACTGTATGTCAAATTCATTTAAACAAATTTAATGCTTTTATTTCCTTTTAAAACTATTTGGATAAATGAATCATATTCCGGTCCAATATTTATGAAGACAAATTCTATTTAGTGACTGTATGTAAAATTCATTTAAACTTCATATTCAATGAAACTTTTAATTTTACCATTACATTTCAAATTTATAAGGAGTCTCATTTTTCGGCAGTGCATACGAAGAATGCCAGAATCATTTAAATTCGACTCGAGTGCCGATTGTTCGTAAGGGTGGGGCTCAGCCAAGTTAGTCAAAGATGAAGTTGGAAGATGCAAACTGTGAAATTCTGTATCCAAAATAACTCTGAAATGTCGCAATTTAAAATCATCACTTGTCTTGCCTTGTGTTTAAAAAAAGGATCTCTCAATAAATATGCTGATCCATTGACGTATGTGGCCAATTTTGGTTGGGAAAGTGACGACTCTAAGACCTTACGTAAATCAAAAATTTATAATTGTTTTCCTGCCACTTCACTTTTGGCACTGACAGCTCGCACATTCATAAAAAATAATCACTCCAATCAATTGTGACTTCAAAAAACTAAGCATTGAAATTAAATAAGCGAACTGGTTTAGGTTTTAGACGACTGTGAGCGTGTGTATATGACTGTTTGTTATCTATTTTTATTTTTGTGGGCTGTTAATATAAAAACGAAAAATAATTACTGAATCTACATGCTCTACTCGAACTTAACAATTGTGAGCCTACACACGGACCGGAGCAACAAAAGTCAACCTTGTACCCTAAAATAAAGTAAGGCATTGTTGCCCACTACTAAAGACGGAGACTTATAGACCAGACCAGTCCAGTCCAGACCAGACCATGCCCGATATAAGTACGTATTCCGAAACGAAATCCAATGCCCCGGCAGGCGTCTGTGTGGGTAATTACCACAAATTAACGAACGTATTCTGCGGCATGCCTTAGTAGATGAACTATTTTTGTCATCAAGTTAAAGCAGCGTTATAGTTCAAAGTAACTGGGAATGGGTAATAAGTGGAGCACATACTATTATTGTTATTACTACGCTGGAATACAGCTACGGTCAGACCCTGTCTAAATCTAAATCTGAACCTGGAATCATTAAACTTTCAAGCACTTGAGATGATTTTACAAATTTCTTCTTGAGAACGACGGCTGCCGTGCTGTTGGTATAGCATAAATTTATGTATTATAATAATTATACATAGAAAAGTAAAAACGAAATGTCATCGAACGTTCAAGTGGCCGAAAAGAGCTCCCCATCCTGCCAGTTTTTTTTCTCTTTTTTTTTGGGTCTTTCGACTCGAGTGGAAGGCATTCATTGATTTAAATGTGTGTTGCGATGCTTAAATCAGGGAAAAATAAGAAAAAATCAAAGAGAAGAATTTGTTGTGCCCTGTTTATTGTTCTAACGATGGTCGGAGTAGTTCGAGACCTAAGTGGCCCCCCTCCATCACCCCTCTATGCTGTTCTCACAACTTGAACCATTTTCTCGTAATTCTCAAGAGGGGCTGTTAAAAAAATTTCGTTGTTAAAATCACGTTGGTTAAATGTCAATATTTTTAGTAGAAAATTTACTATTTAATTTGATTCTGGGGAATGCCAGAGTTTTTAAGGGAAAAATATTGTTTTTGATTCAAATAAACAAGCTCTGGAAGTTGCCTAAATATTTTCCTATGAAAACTGTATGTGATTGCAGAAAACAGACCTACATCAGTTGATTAAGTTAACAAATAAAAAATAAAGATGTGCTATCGCATTATCAGGATACATTAGCAGAGTAATATTTGAAGAATTAGTACTATGCTATACTATAACAAGAAAGGAAAGCTAACTTCGGGCGGAGCCGAAGTTGATATACCCTTGCAGAATACTCTGTAAATTATATTCTCCAAAATTATTCATATTATGCATTCTTAATACTCATAAAAAATCCGAACTTCCTAACTTTAACAACAACAAAGTTATGGCATTTCCAATCGTTCAGTTATATGGCAGCTATAGGATATAGTCGGCCGATCCTTATGAAATTTGATAGGTCGGATTGATTGGCCAAAAATAAAATCCATAGAAAATCCCAACTTCCTAACTTTACAAACACCAAAGTTATGGCATTTCCGATCAATCAGTTATATGGCAGCTATAGGATATAGTCGGCCGATCCTTATGAAATTTGGTAGGTCGGATTGATTGGCCAAAAATAAAATCCATAGAAAATCCCAACTTCCTAACTTAACAAACACCAAAGTTATGGCATTTCCGATCATTCAGTTATATGGCAGCTATAGGATATAGTCGGCCGATCCTTATGAAATTTGGTGGGTCGGATTGATTGGCCAAATATAAAACCCATAGAAAATCCCAACTTTCTAACTTTACAAACACCAAAGTTATGGCATTTCCGATCAATCAGTTATATGGCAGCTATAGGATATAGTCGGCCGATCCTTATGAAATTTGGTAGGTTGGATTGATTGGCCAAATATAAAACCCATAGAAAATCCCAACTTCCTAACTTTACAAACACGAAAGTTATGGCATTTCCGATCAATCAGTTATATGGCAGCTATAGGATATAGTCGGCCGATCCCGGCCGTTCCGACTTATATACTGCGTGCAAAGGAAAGAAGGGTGTGTGCAAAGTTTCAATCCGATAGCTTTAAAACTGAGAGACTAGTTTGCGTAGAAACAGACAGACGGACAGACGGACAGACGGACAGACGGACATGGCTATATCAACTCAGGAGGTGATCCTGATCAAGAATATATATACTTTATAGGGTCGGAGATGTCTCCTTCACTGCGTTGCACACTTTTGACCAAAATTATAATACCCTCTGCAAGGGTATAAAAAAAGTGGCAAGGGTTCTAAAATATTATTTATAAACTATGGATACAATATAATACAAATGCATAATGTTTAAGAACCATTGTTGTCATTGATTAGAAAAATATCATTGCCTTTTAGCTAAAACCAATCAGCAGCCTTTAACTAAAACACCAAATACACATATTTTCTTGGCGTATTTTATGGTATTTATCTTAAAGTGTGTATATTATTTATTTGCCAAGAATCAGTAGTTTGTGTGGCGGCAAAGTTTCTCCGTTAACTGCTGCTCAGCTG